TAAACCAATGACCAAGAAAAATGTATTATAGGTACATTTAACTTTAAGTACAATCTACAAAAGTGTAGATTATGGTGTACTAACTATACCAGTGAGGGTCCATGATATAAGTATATAACTAACAAAATATTCAGTTGTACACACACACAGTAAAATGATAATTTTAGTTGGAATAAGACGTACAAAAAGCGGTTAAGTGGATGTCGCTCTGCTGCACAGTAGGTTACAATTACAGGGTCATTGTATAATGGATTGTATTAAACTTGAATTAAATGATATTCTATCATTGTATAAGAAAAACGATTCTGAGCGAAGAGGTTTGTCAGTCTGGATATTTTATATTGTCATTAATTATTATATCATATAAGTTGAATTAATATTGTAATATTATTATTTTTTATTCGTTTCTATGGTGATAAACAAAGCGTTAGAAATTAAAATCCCATTTTTAGCTGTTTTTCCTAATTTTTCGGTTGTTTTTCCAGTGTCATTTAATAACTGTTGACGAAATCGAAAAAGGACCTCTTTAAAGTACCATCTTGATCAAATTTGCTAAAAGATAAGGTACTATATGTTGAAATCGAATAACTCCTTCTGGTAGATATTTTGTATATGGAGGATATAAAAAAAAAAAAAAAATAAACACCATTGTAAAACCACTAGCTTCCTCGCTCCTCTCAGAATCTAAAAATAGAAACAAGTATACTGATTTGATCATTAGGGAGTGACAGGTGGTAGGTGGTAACCTATATAGGAATAGAAAATGTCGCTTTGCCTCACCCGAAAACAATGTCCTATTATACCCCACTGATGCTGCCTGTCTCCATATAGTTGTATTATTCCGTGGTGATATAATAATATATAACCCACACAGCCAATCACATATAGATATTTTAACTGCAGATAATGACGTAGAGCTCAAATTACATATTTTACGTGGACGATTTGAACGAAACGATTTAATGCTTTCCTTAAAATATAATAATAATCATATTTCAAATATTTCAACGTTTTAGTCACTTCTGAAAAACGTCATATTTTGCCGGCCATTACACCATATTATTATTATTGTAATGATATTGGTCTATTTCCGGTCGATTATTATTTTTTTGATATTTTATACGGTTAAAAGAGTGCACGGTCTCGAGTTGAGCGTAGAGGGAAAGTTTCCGGGCAAAGAATGCCGAGCATAAGAATGCAAGTACTCGTGTATATATAACACGATAATAATATACCTATACATGTTTATTATATTGTATAGTGTGTGAGTCGACTTGCCGTTTGCGGAAATTAATTGAATTGCCGTATAACCATTGTGCCGCCGCCGTCGCGCCCCATTCGGTTTTAATCACTCGTGGCGCGAATACACGGGGGACGAGATTCCGTGGCGGCGGCGGCGACGACGTTCGTATCTGGTCCCGACGTCGAGTGGGTTCTCTTCTGCCTCACTATCTCTCTCTCTCTCTCTCTGTCTGTCTCTCTGTCTCTCTGTCTCTGTGTCTCTCTCTCTCTCTCTCTCTGTCTCTGTCTCTCTCTCTCTCTCTCTCTCCATATCATCTCAAGTCCCGTCGTCGGTAGACTGTCTTGTGTAGGTAATATTATCGTGACACCTATAATAGCCGAGCCAGAACGATTTTTTTTGTTAATTTCCTTGAAAAGTATTACAACGTTTTCCAAAGTATACAGGGTGATATTTTTATCATTGAACACTCATTATTTCAAAAAGTATTTATGTTTAAGAAAAAATTTTTGTACATAGTTTCAAGTTGTTAAAAAACAATATTTTTATTAAAAAAATTATATTTTTAAATATTTTTTATCCTTTTAATTTTTTAAGTTTTTTACTTTTTTGAATGACAACACGTAATTTTAATTTGATATTCAAAAACAGAATATTTTTCCGAGTATTTTAATACATAAAAATTGAATTTAGGGCAAGTAGTTTATGAGTTATAAGTATTTAAAGTTTAGATGAGCGGAGTAGTGGACAAACATTTCGCGGGGTAACCCCGTACCACTCTACTCCGCTCATCTAAATTTTAAATACTTATAACCAGGGCTCAGGACTTAAATCATTTGCTTATTTTTATAGATTGACTTAAAATGTAGCAGAGTGCTATAGAAGTGTATGCATGTTACAACACATTCAATTATGAAATTTGAGAGTGCTTTTTTTTTCTTTTTTCAGTGATTTTTCAAAAAAATGCTTATTTCAAGTTTTTCTGATAATTATTGCTTTTTTGACCAGTTTTTATACTTTTTTATGATTTTCTACTGCATAGTTGTTTTTGATAGAATTAAAATTAAAAATAATTTAAACAAAAAAATGTATTAAAAAATTAATTTTTTTTTCAACTATTTGTAAATATTGTTTACATTTTATTTTTCAGAAAATCCCTTGGAAAATCCATAAAATCCTCAGTCCTGAAAATGGAGTTTAATTTTTTTTATAATATAAAGATAAAGTATTATTTTTTATTTTATTGTTTTTTTTTTTTAATAAATAGTTTTGCTTAAATTTAAGTTTTTTAAATGCTTATTTGAGTGCTTATAATGATGTTTTTAAGTGCTTATTTAAGCACTTATTTTAATGATTTAAAGTGCTTTAAGTCCCGAGCCCTGCTTATAACTCATAAACTAATTGCCCTAAATTCAATTTTTATGTATCGAATTACTCAGAAAAATATTCTGTTTTTGAATATCAAATTAAAATTACATGTTGTCATTCAAAAAAGTAAAAAACTTAAAAAATTAAAAGGATAAAAAATATTTAAAAATATAATTTTTTAATAAAAATATTGTTTTTTAACAACTTGAAACTATGTAAAAAAATATTTTCTTAAATATTAATACTTTTTGAAATAATGAGTGTTCAATGATAAAAAAATCACCTTGTATAATATATAGTGATGATATGCAATCGGAAGTCATTGGTTTCGACATTTTTCGAACAAAAAAACATTTTGATTTAAACTATTCATACGTTTACTATTTAGGTACTAACCATTTTTTTTCAAAATTTGTATGCTTTGAAGTAGGCTATTTTTTGAGTGGTTAGAAAATCCATAAAAGCAGGACAACAAAATATACGAGAATATTTGAAGGGAAATGACAAATCGGGAAAATAATACACTGGAATTTCAAAACCAGAAAAATTTCTACACGGTTGAGTAATATTCAGGAATACGTGTTCTTCTATACGACTAATGTTGTAAGAATCCTGAATATTACTTTCCAGTAAAATATTTTCCCGTGTAGTTATTTTCCTGGATTTTAATAATAATTCCTGTACTTACACTTTCCTATATTCCACATTTATATTTTTATCGATTTTTAATTTCTGAGAATTTTTCCCCTAAAATGTTTTCCTAAAATATACATTCATCAGTTATATATATTATCCTGCTAATTATTTTCCCTGTCATATTATTTGCTACCATCATAAAAGCATTCCTGACAAATGTATTTCCGAGAAAAGAGTTATTCCCAAATATAACACATCACTCATCAGTAATCACCATAATATTATTTTTCTGAGACTTTCAATGTACAAAATCTATTGAATCCTAGTATAGTTTAGTTATAACTTCTAAGTATTTATATTTTATCTAAAGTGTTGATGAGATAAGAGGAAAGGCACAGAGTTTCCAGGAAACTGATTCCTCCCTGCTACGCTTATCAATCGTTATCAATATACTTACATTAAGTAAATAATTATTATTTATTGCTAGGTAATTAACTACTAGTTTGAAGTTCGATATTTATGTATATTTAGGTAGGTATTAAAGTATATAGGTGAGGTCTATAGCTCTTCGTTTTAGCATCGTTTGACGACTGTATTCTTGCAATAATATAATATTTTTTCCACTGATGTTCAGATTTTTCCGATATCAATAAATCAAACTCATTAAATGTCGAAAAAATAATGATCCTTCAACCAATATTTTCTACGCCTATACAGTATATACATTTTAATAACAACAAAATCTGTTTTAGATTTAATTTATTTTATGTTTTTCAGCATCATCGTATTTGATCCCGACTGCATTCTTGTGGAATAGTTTCAAGTATTTTAGTTCAAATCACGTTGATTGCGTTTGGAGAGACATTTTAATTCGCAAAATCTTTAGCCCTGCAATGCAGCCGCTTAAGATAAAACTCAATACACTGAATAATTCTAAAAATAATTATATAGTTTTTCAAATATGTTTCTTTTTAGAACATTGTTTTGATAAAAAAAATATTTATTTATACATAATATTATTATATTAAGTACGACGGTGATTTATAAATAACAATCATTTATTCTAAATGTTTTTGAATTTTTGGATTTTTTTTTATACAATTTCCAATGATTAAATAAGTTCAAAATGTCTGATAAAAATACGAAATGATAGTTTTACTTATATTTTATTATTTTTTTTTTTACTTTATGCAGTTTATGGATTAACAGCATACATTTCTAATTTAATAATCCAAATAGATTTTTTTTTTTTTGATAAATTCTGTAAATAAAAGTTGAACTTAGAATGTATAATTATAATATAGGTAACTAATTATAACTGGCTTTGGAATATTGAACTAAATAAACTCTCAGTTCACCACTCCAGACATCCTCCCACTCTAGGGGGTTTACACCCTCTTTGCATCAATATTTAGAATATAAAATATACCCATAACCTGTGCAGTATATATACATTCTAATTTTTTTTTTAAATAGTAGAGAGTTATAAGACCTTCCTATTTAATTAATAATAATAATTATTTATTTATTCTTTGGTTGCCATGGAAATCGTATTATATGGAAGATAAAATATACGAAACTTTTGTATAAAATAATAATACGATTAGATTATATAATATTGTGTATTAAACAGTATAATATTATGATAGTCTGATTTAAATCCAAAGTTTTTCACAGCGCCCCTTTATATTATTATTATTATTTATTATTAATACTGACGGAAATGATTGATTTTTGAATTTTTGTTTTTTTCCAGCCCGAATCAACAACAATACGACGAGTTCGAATTCGCAAACAAATCACATTTAGAAAAGTCTTCCATTCCGTAATTATTACCAATCCATATAATATTTACCTATTCTTATTATGATAATAATTATTATGCATTATACTTTGGATAAATTTCATAGAACAGAAATGACTATGCGAACAACAATATTTATTATGCTTAAAATCATAGGCGTGTCTACGGGTCATGCCTGTCATGCACAGGCATGACCTGCGAAATTTGGTCCAACTTAGGTACATTATAAATTGGGGTGCATAATATACATTTTTTTTTTCTAAGTGTCTGATTTCGTGTTAAGTTTTTTGATTTTCATCACGTAAAGTATGTAAAAAGTATGTAAAAAGTATTAAAATAATTATATTTTAAAATTAAATACTAAGTACAATTTCATAATATAACCTACCTAGTTATTTATTTATCTGATAAAAGAAATATCGTTTTTTATTCCTAATAAAAAAAGTAAAACTTATTTAATTATTATCAGATGATAAAGCTTATTTCAAAATTTGGGGGTCATATTCCCAAATCTTAATCTAATTTTTTTTTGGGGGGGGGGGTGCATTTTTCTCCCCTGAATATGCCATTGTTGTGCACGACCTGAGGATGAGATCTGGACACGCCTATGCTTAAAATAACCCAACCTATAATAAACAATAATTGATCATAAGTCATAACTAACATGTCGATGGGAAATATTGTTGGTTTTCAGCTACACTGAAGAATATTCGGGTAGTGGTGAATTCGGTCTACAAAGTCCGACCGAGTCGCTGCCTTCGCCCGTTCGGCCGCCGCTCAGACACATCGACAAATACATCAAACCGGAAATACCGAATCTCAGCAAGAGATATACAATAGCTATACTAACATGCGTCGGTAAATATGGATTTCGTGTGACATTGCAGTTAAACGATATGGATGGCATTTTAAAAATAATATGAAAAATACCGCTATGCATTTACCTGTTGGCTGTTTGCATATATTAAAATATAAGAGAGATAGGATATTGATCATCTAAAAACAAAAGTATATTCCCCCTAATTAAATAAAAAAAATGCTTAAATACCTTGAAAACTATAATGGTAAATTTACGTATTAGTCTTAAATTATAGATAGGTATAACATGAGTTGACGAAATTGTAATTGTTAAAATTTTTTAATTACTTTCATTAGTATAATATATTAATACCTAATTTAATATTTGTTTATAATCTTCACAATTTTGCGAAATAAATAAAGAAATGTATTAAGACTTTTTATGAATTTTTTTTGAGGTAATGAATTTGTTATATTTGTGAGTTTAAATATGTACAAAATGTACAAAATATATGTAAAAAAAATGCATAAAGATAAAAAAATTCAAATTTCATATTCTTAATCGTGTGACTATCTCATGCAAATATTTAAATATCTTGGTTTGCACTGCATAGAGCTTATGAAAACATAAATTGCAAAAGTCATTAAAATCCTTTCTCTAATTATAAGTTATAACGAAAGTTTTTGTTTTTATCTGATATAGGTTTCATGATCTCATTTGGAATGCGGTGCAATATGTCGATGGCAAAACTGAAATTTCACATAGGATCCGATGTAAGTAAAACGCATAAAAATTAAAAATATTGGGTTTTTGTTCTTTGGATGATTGCCAGTCTAAATAGTCTACAGTTACGAATACGGGATAGAACAATAATAATAGTAATTATTATATTTACAACTATATAATTATATTCCTTGAATAATATTAACCGTGTCAAGTACAAAATACAATAGCTAGGTATAAAAACCATCAACAAAAAAAGATATTGGTAAACATTTCATAAATTATCTAGGTCCAACTATGTTTAATTCTATGCCTTTACTTCTTAAAAAATATATTCTTCAAAACGTTGGAAAAAATTTAGGTTATTTAAATAACAAAAAAATTAAATTTAACCACTCAATAAAAAATCTTAATTCGTAGTTTATTTAGAAAATTAATCTTATAGTTTTAATGTTATATTAACAGTTTACAGTCTTTTTTTATTTTTATTTTTTGTTTTTCTTTCTAAATTCTATTTTAAGTTTGTAAACATATGTAACTCATTTGCCTCACCACAAGCTACGCTTATTGGTGGTAAATTAATCAAATTTTATTATGTATTTGATTTTCTAATAAAAAAATAAAATTGTTTGTAAAGTAAGATTTTCGGAGTCACTACTTTAACGATGACACATAACATTATAAAATATTAAAAAATGATAAAAGCTTAAAATTTAAAATAATTTAGTTATGGAAAAAATAAAAAAATTATTATACCTAATATAATATAGGTATTTTAAAAAAAATATCTTTTTACCCAAAAAATATGAAATGTTTTATCATAATATAATGTTCAACATTTGGGGTGAGTGTTTTAACACTTTTTTAGAAAAGTATTTCGGGTTACCGCTACTGATTACGTGATCAGATAAATAAGTCTTGATATAAAAAACATTAGTTCGATATTATTATTATTCAGTTACTATTTTAGGATTATTAATATTATTCGTTTATTTTATGAAAACAATAATTTGTACAAAATAAAATATATTTTTAATCGATATGGGTTTGTTTGAGTCAAAAAAATAACTTTATGCGACTATAAAACGAATAAAACGGTTAGTATAATAACTTCATATTATTATGGGGAAAATTTAATCTCATTAAGTTAGTAGGTATGGTTCCCCATGTGTACCCAAGTACCTGCATTAGTATGCAGAACTTATTAAATGTAACTAGACTCTAAATTTTTAACTCGTTAATGCCTAGCTTCGATTATATAATATAATATGGTCTGTAGTTATACGATGATTACTGTCGTCTCGGATCGAGTTTTCGGTCGATTATCGCCCACGGGGACTGACGGTGCGGCGAACTTTTCCGAGTTTTCACGGTTGCACCCTCGCGCTTAATGTACCGTAAATCCGGTTGAAACTCGTCGCACATATAACGTTTATATATATTTATTATGCGTTCCCCTCGTCCTACGCCGCTTATGCGTGTCCGACGACGAAGGCAAAAGCAATCGCATTTCGTTTGTCCGCCATATAATAATAATATATATCGCAGCCTTTTGGCCAAATGCTCGCCAAAAACATCCCTCACGCCATCCCTCTCCCCTGCGCCGGCGGACGAGCTCGCCACAAAACTCGCCCTTGACTCGGATATCGACTACTCCTGTCATCGCGTTATACCGTCGTCGGCGGAGATGGGGGTTGAGAGCTGCTCGCCAAACGGAATTCGTATAATATATAATAATATATTACGGCGGTCGTGATGATGTATATATTATTATATGCCACTAATATTATGGACCGCTGTCGGGTCAAAGGCATAGACAGTATATTACGACCATCTCGACGACGCGACGACGATAATACAGTAATAATCGAGACATTGTGTGCGCTGTAGGTATAATATTATATATTTACGAGTCGGAATGCCGTCGAGGAGAGCCTTTGCGTGGACCCCGGGCCGCGTATAATTGAAAACGTCACGTGACACTACACCCTCCACCCTGCGCCCGACGATCTGTCTGGAGATGACACGGCTTTTGCAGAGAGCCGAGCCAAATATACTCGGACGTCGTATAGATACCACGTTTATGTTTTATTATTAGCTCTCCGCCGTCCAGACTTCGAGTCAACAATAATAATAATAATAACAATATTGTATAAATAGCCGCAGGACGAATTCAAATACGCAAATAGTTATTATTTCTATCGATTCTATTGAAGTGACAACTGACAGCGTCGTCCCATTCGGCATAAACACTTGTACGTGGGATGTAAAATTCAGCGTTATAACCATAATATAGTATGGTTGAAGGACGTGACACATTTTCAGTTAATCTTACCGCTTTTTTTTACTTGTTTTCCCTTGAGAACTACAGTGTCTCTAACCTATCAAGGAACTCGTAAATCAAATAATACATACTATATACCTATACCTATATATAAATAGCCCTTAAAATATTGTCTTTCTCACAAAAAAAGATACTAGTCTTTAGTTACGTCTGGTTTTAAATAATAATTGTCCAGGATAAAGTACGTTTTTATGTATTATATTAATTAATTATTATATTTTGAATAGAGAACCTTTTAAAAATTAATGATTTTACATGGAGCATTTTTAACTGTGTGTATAAACCACTTGATTGTTGGAACTTCTGAAAAGTTTGACCTTTCAAAATTTAAGAATTACTGTTGTTTGAAATATTGTTAAGTCATAACGAATCGAACTGCTGCAGCATTGCTCGAATTGGTAAAAATTAAGTAGAGGAGCTCAATCTAACGATTTAAAAACTACGTTCCAAGGGCGCTATTATTCAACACAGACCATACAAAAAATAGTAGGGGAGCTCCTTCTCCTTGCTCACCCCCCCCCCACAATTCGAGCACTATGCTGCAGCCACAATTCGTATTCGTCTCTTCCCACTTCACTGGTTGTACAACTCTAGAGACTATAGTCTATATAAAATTATAGCATCTTATGATGAAGACATTTAGGATCTCGTTCATTTGCAATATACAGGGTGATTATCGTATCGGTATACATCAGTTTTCTCGGTAAATGTACGTGTTTTTGAAAATATTTTTGACCCAATTCTTAACTCGGCGTGTGCACATAGTGTATCTGAATTCTGGATGATACACAAAATATATGTAAATTTGATTTGTTTCCTTGTAAGACATTGGAGGCATATTCATGACCATCCAGATATACAGCACCCCGTATATTATGATAGCGGTTAATTTCGGTTTGGATAGTGACGGTGACCGAAAGCTCTGCGAAACTTTGTTCTTCAAATCGAGATTCGAACAGCCACGAATGAAAACTGCTGCATTCGTGCATTCGACGATGCGATTCCATAATAATATAATATAGTGCGCAGTTTTTGATAAGCGACTATACGATTTAACATTCCAAACTCGCGTACGACCTAATCAAAATTATTCACAAACAAGATAGAATACGATAGTATTGTAATATTATATGTTATACTCTCGACGAGTCGACGAATTTACGCTCAAACTTTTCTGCCAGTTAATCGAGTACTGTTAATGTGTTTACGAAATATTGTGTCGTACATTACGTGAATACGTGATTTTATAATATCAAATAGGTATATAAGCAAAGGGTAGACGAATGATAAAATTAACTTGAGGTAGTTAAATTAAGTCAACTTTAAAACGTTAAGCCATAAGTTATACCTATTAGTTAAAAAAAAAAAACAAAATACCTACCTACCTACCTATTAATTATTAAAGATTAAAAATATTACGGAGAATAATAAACTCAACTCAGTTAAAAAAGAGTAGGATCAATTTAAAGCAAAAAGTTACCACCTGAGGATCTACATCGGTTCACATAATGGTGATTGGGCAATTTTCAGCTTTTAAAATAATAACTAAATATTTTGTTAAAATGCATGGGTATATAATATTATTTCTTACTGAACAGTGAACAATATTATAATAATATAATCAGCTGTAGTGGCTTATTATTATACATTTGTGTCAATTAAATAATTTGATCTAAAAATATTTATTTATTTATTTGAATTTATAATCATCGAATAATTTACAAAGTCATTAAACAAATAATAATATTATTATGTATGTAAACATAATTTTGATTTAACTTATTATTTTTAAAATTAACTGGAAAAAACGAAGTTGTTACAACGGATGCTCAGTTAGAAAGTTAAAAAAAATTCGTTGAATAAGTTAACAAACCACATTTCAATGTATGATACGTTTTTTTAAAGTTCTAAAATCTTACATGCATTGCAGGACGATGATGTCTCTACCGAGAATATCACCACGACCACACCTCACACGCCTTTGGGAAACACTCCCATTCACGAACGGCCGGTAAGTTTATTATGTTGAAGTTTCGATACGTAATGGACATAATAGGTATTATTATGATAAATTAATAATTTATGGCGAATGTCAAGCCGTACGCTTGTGATGGTGCCCGCAAACGATGGTAACATTTTTCTTTTTTTCAGATCAACTGGTCCCTCGGGTCCTTTGTCGCCATCGAGATGTCGTTCTTTTGCGGATATCTGATAACTCAAGTGCCCGGTGGTTTTTTGGCGTCCATGTATCCGGCAAACAGGTATAAATAATAATAATTATAATACTATAAGGTATATAAGAACCAAATTACCGTATTTGGTATACCGTTTAAAATTTTTATTTTCGGATTATTCTCTTTTCGGACTATTCGTTCGATTGTCATGTATCAACGCGCAATATTTTTAGTGATGAGCGTGAACCATGTCGTACTACAAATTATAGTTTTAAAATATAAAAATAATCAAATTTTTGTTGAATTAAAATACAATTTGTTTGTCTTGGTTTTATTTTTAGAACTGCATATATCATTATGATAGTAACCCCATTGTACTGTTTCACAGACCCATAAATAAATTTTGCTCCAAAAAATATGTTCTCTATTTAGAGGTTCTGTTAGGGGAGGTTCACTGTATATTATTACATTTTAACGTTTGTGTCTGTTTTTCAGAGTGTTCGGGATCGCTATCGCCATGTCATCCTGTCTGAATCTGTTGGTGCCTTCGGCGACTGAGATCGAGAAATCTTTATACGTGATAATCATCAGGATGTGTCAAGGACTGGTCGAGGTAATAATATATCACAGACTTTTATACTTTTAAATTATTATACATGGACGTCGCTCAAGCATCGTTTTGGAGGGCATGTACCAGTGGCCCCCAAAAGTACCTTTATTTATACCAATTCCCCCCAAACTACCTAGAGCAAAATGTACCAGTTGCCCTCCAACAAATGTACCAGTTGCCCTCATATGTAAATATATATACGATTACAATATATAGCAATATATAATAGGGGAGGTAAATATACAAATAATAATTATAAATAGTACCTAATTACTATAACAAAACATAGTACTTACATAATATTATATCTAATTTTTTTACTATTTTTTTTTTTTTGACAAATTATCAAATTGAATAATATACCACTTTTCATTATAATTATATTATTTATTATGAATTTTTTCTATCACTTTATACCTACTATTTTTTTGTTGAAAATATTATAACATTGAATGTCACACAATTATAATATTTATTATTTTATTGACTGTTGTATTCATATTATTTTGTTAGTTATTATTATTTATTAAAAAATACAATATTAGGTATATACAGGGTGTAACAGAAAGATATGACATATACATATACTGGAAATGTTCCAAAACAGTTCAATAAATGTTTTGAAAATTGTATCGTGTATAGAAAATGCAAATATAAACTACCAGTGAAAATGTCATGTATATACGTTAATTTGTTTTAGAGTTTAACCAAAAACCAAAATCGATTTTGTCATATCTTTCTGTTACACCCTGTATTCCAAGCAAATTAATTTTTTTCTATCATTTCATACTATTTTAAATAATTTTATTTATTATTTGTATATTAACCTAACCTCCCCTATTTTACGGGATATATATTGTTATCGTGTACATATTTACATATGAGGGTAACTGGTACATTTGGTTGAGGGCAACTGGCATATTTTTAAAATCCCGATAACAGCCGTGGCGTGGGGGGCAACTGGTCAACACCTGTTTAGGACGAGGTGTCAAAGATCGATTTGGGATGTTTTATAATACGGTTTACATTTTTCCGACTCCATAATCGAAATGAGTGACGTAAAATAATAATAATCCATTATTTTTCACTTTATTGTCTAAAAAATATCAACTAAATTTATGAACACGTTTAGTACTCGAGTGTAGGAAAAAATAACAGTTTTTATAAATAATAAGTAGGTCATAATTAATAACTAAGGCTATAGAATCTTGTAGCAAATGTTTCTTTGACGGTTCAGTGTGTGATAAAAAGGTAATTCTTATATTTTATAAATATTCGTTTGTAATTCTGTTTGTACTCAGGTAATCTTTGTTTTTCGTATTCAAGCTTCAATTAAATACGAATAAATGCTTTTTCTTTTGATGCAATTAATAAATGCAATTATAAATGTTTTTTTTTACAATTTATTTAATACAAAATCCGAGCCCTAGTAATAAATTAATAGAGATTTAATTTAAATAGAGATTAGATTTAATTTAATTTTGAATGTACCTTTTTTTTTTGTCATATTTATTTAATTTGTACAATCTGTAAAAAATATTATTTACAATAAGCACAATGGAGGGATACATAATATAGGTCATGGTTGGCTTGATTGAAGAAGCTATTCAATAATAGCACTTCATGGCGGGATAGATAAATGTACCTACGTACATTTTACCGTTAATTTTTTTTCTATAGATGAAATTGCATTGATTTTAGTTCAAAGGGTAATAAGCACAGAAAAAAATTGCATGAAACACAATACATTTAATGGAACAAATTGTATAATGACTGGTTTATAATAATATATGAAACAAAAATTAAATGTACAAGTTAAATTATATTGACCTATATTACCAACTACCTGCAATGTTATTATATTATATTTATGTGTTAAGTTATGTTATCGGTTTCACATTAATGATACTGTTATAAATTTACCAACAACTCTATTACTATGCTAGAGTTTGGTTTTCGGTTTTTGTAGAAATAAAAAATATGAAAAATATGAAGTCTATTTCTGAAGTATAAAGTCTCCTGATCCTCGCCCTCTGAGTGGTTTTGATAAATTATTCAATAACCGTTGTGTGATGATCGCAGGGCGTCACGTATCCGGCTTGTCACGGAATTTGGAGACATTGGGCGCCGCCGTTGGAAAGATCACGTCTGGCCACCATAGCCCTGTGCGGATCGTACGCTGGTGTGGTGGTTGGCATGCCGCTGTCCGGTACTCTGATCGACTGGTTCAGCTGGGAAGCGCCGTTTTACGTATACGGTAACCCTGTAGTTTTAAGTTAATAAATTTGAAGAGAAAAAACCGATAAAAATACGGCGATAGTAGGGGCGTAGCGTGCATGTAAGCACTGTAAGCACTGCTTACACTTTAAATGAAAGATAAAATAAATTTGATCAATCACGACTAATAATAGGTACATAATAAATTATTTTTAAAATTTTAATTTTATTTATAAAATATTTAAGTTATAGCTGGTAGTGGTTTTTGTTATTGTTTATTTGTGTCGTACGCTGTCTACTGGTTACCAACTATTTTAAGAAAATCATCGATTATAGGTCTATTTTTAATCCATTCTGTATTATGTTAACTGCATAATCATAATACGATATACAGTGTAACACATTCTGAAATTGCTCACGCGCAACTGTTGTTTTCGAATAGTCTATAATGCCATAGTGGGGGTCAAGTATTTCACTAGCCTTTGTAAGCACATTTGATTTTGCTTACGAGAGAAACAAGGAGCGACCAGCACGTACTACGCATAGACCTATTAAGAAATAGAATTAGAATTTCTTAATAGGTCTATGGTACTACGTAGCCCGACGCGTTGTAGACTGTAGTCGCTTTTACGTACACTGTCACTGTCATTCGCCTAATAGACTTTTGAAGTATTTATGCTTCAATTTCTTTATTTTCTCGAATTTGATTTGTACAACTAGTATATTTTTAAAAATATTAAAAATTTTAAAAGGATAACATTCTTTTATACATAATTTATAATTATAGGTATTTAGGTATAGTACCTATTCTAATCACTTTTGAAAAAAAAAATTCACTGCTTACATCTTTTTAATACCCACGCCACGCCACTGCGGCGCGCGATACGTACTAGATAACGAAATGTTATGCGAAATAATAATAATAAATTCACAATATTATAATATATTATAGTCTCTTGAAAGGTACCGGAAAACGGTATTTCGAAATAGTTTAGTTTAATTGAATACAATTTATCTAGAAATCTGATGAATGTAGATGGTATGGTATATTACAAAAATTATATTTAATAATAACTGCTACCGAGGATAGACAATATAGCAATCTAGATAAATTTGATAGGCCAATTAAATAATTTAACATTTATTAGGTATAGTTATTTAAACTAAACTTATATTAGTATTCATATGTTCTATGTAGCAAATAAAACGCAATGGTATAACTAATATTATAATATAGTGATATAATATAACATAATTATATTGCATATACTACCTATACATATAAGATTTGATTTTTTTTAAACCAACATAACATTTTTGTATAACTTAACCTATATAGACCATTATTATGTAATTTTTTTGTGGTTTTGAAGGTATAGTAAGTAAGAAACACTTTTATAACACGTGACTTTTACAATAAATATTTGTTATAAAAAGAAACTTTTATAACAAATGGTTATTACGAGACTTCATTTTAGAAGACTCGACTTAGTGGCACACGTCTTTCAAACACTTAACTAGTTATCAGAAGACAGAGCTCATTGTTTTTTTCTAGCATTGACATTACTCTATGATAATAAATTAAGATTTAATACATTATTAACGCCATGTCACCATGTAGGTATTAACTGATATTAGTTGAGACAAACTCCTATGAAATAATATGTTTTATTATTAATTTCATTACCATAGTGGTCTAACCAGCATATTAGGTACCTACTTGAAAATCTAACTAAAACTAAAAAAGATTTAGTAATACAATTTGTCAAAAAATTACGAAATTTAATGATATTATCAAAGCTATATAGGTACTATTTACGGTTATTTCTAAACAATATAATAATCAAACATTCTTGTACATGAAAAATCATTAAAATTGGCTGGAAATCTTTATAGGCTATCTTTAAATAATAGATTTGTGTGATATAATGTCTTAGCGCTTATCACCTCAAATAATATTATTATACTGTGTGTTCATTGATGTACCATATTATTCTGCATTTTAGGAGTATTGGGGCTGATATGGTACGTATTTTGGCTGTGGCTGTGCTTCGAGAAGCCGAGCCTCCATCCCACCATTTCGGCCAGAGAGTTGAACTACATCGAATCGTCGTTGGGCGCCGCCAAACAGTCTGCCGCTCCGACAATCCTCAACACGCCTTGGAAAGAATTTTTCACCTCCATGCCCGTGTACGCCATCATAGTCGCCAACTTCTGTCGGTCGTGGAACTTTTATCTCCTCGTGCTGTTCCAGGCATCGTACCTGCACTCGTTCAACTTCGAAGTGTCTGCAGTGAGTTATGCACATTGTTATCTTATATTGTTCACAGGATGATTCACTTAACAGTAAACATGCCCGGCCCCTTTTTATTCTTCAATAATGCAGTTATTAAAAATCCTATTTTTGGGATATTTAAACAGACTTAAATATACTTATGTCATTTACTCACTTAGCTCTTTTAATCTTTAAGCATCGAGTTATATGTTTATATTACCACTCTGTGACACGTCCATACGGATACGCAGCCCTTGTATAATATAGGTTTGCCTGTATTTGTGATTTTTAAAATACCATTTTTGATTATCGAAATACATTTTGAAAACAGTTTCAATGTGCATATACAACGTTACTTACAAAATTAAATGATAAAAAACAAACGTATCAGCAACATTTTAGACGGTATATTTCAAACTTTCATTGCACGATCAAATCTACTTTTTCTTCTCAAATACATTTTATGTTTACAGACATTTTCGTGTAGCAACGTATTTTTGTTCTACGAGTTTTAATGTTCTTTTGATTTGTGCTGTATAACGTGTTCGATGGTATTATTTCTTTGATTCAATACGTATGAACGGCGCAATGTGTAGGCAATATAGGTACGTACCAGCGTCGGAGAAAATAATATTATTACCTTCAATATTTATTTATTTATTATTAACAAGACAAGGCGGAAGCACAATTTAAACATAAAAACAAAGTTAATATTTACATTATTAAGATTAAAAATGATATGGAACTAACAGCAGTATATAAATACAACAAAAATTACGAATGAGCTAGAGTAGGTAATATTAATAATATTATTATACCGTTTCCTCATTAGTAATTACTAAAATAATTTTATACTGATTTTATACTGATGTTGATGGGAAATTTCCAAAAAAAAAATTTTATAAATCTTGATAGATGAATATATTAATTACTAAAATTGTTAAATAACTTTAAATCACATAGGGAAAATATAATTTAATTATACTTTTTTTTTGTATTTTTCAAGCTTAATATTATCAAGTTGCATTTATAAATGCTTACGATTTTTTTTGCACGAAATTCGCCTTTTAGGTAGATTAATTGTGTTTTTGTTTTCACTTTCACAGACCGGTTACATCGGCGCTTTACCTCATCTGCTGATGACCATAGTGGTGCCCCTTGGAGGTCTGCTAGCCGATCACATACGGAAAAACGGTATCCTGTCCACGACTAGCGTCAGAAAGATTTTCAACTGCGGAGGTTTTGGCATGGAAGCCACGTTTTTCCTCGTGTTGGCCAACGCCCGCACTCCGCTCATGGCTACGATCGCCCTGACCTGTGGTGTGGCTTTCAGCGGGTTCGCCATTTCCGGTAAGTGCAGTGAACCCGTCCTATATCTCAATCTTGCACAACTCTCTCCGAACTATAACATTTAGAGGAGAAGCCACGAGTGAGGACCAATCGACGTACAGTTATATTATATTGACCGATATAACCCTTTTAGACCAAATTTTAGTATAATATTATAGCAATTATACACACCTCCTATTATAGGTACATGGACGCACAGTTCATCAAAGTTAATATTTTTTGTTATTGGTTCCGGTTCACAATATTTTAAGTGTTTTTGGGTTCCAAGGCAGGCTCTTTTCTAGTGTTTGGTTTAATATTACGGTCACCACTTATTTCAAGCCAATTAAAAGTCAAAACGATATAAAAGCTTATAATGCGATTGGTATAGAACGTGATATATTATGGAACTTAAAATATTTAATTTCGAAAACAATTTTTGATTCATTAAAGAATGCAATGGGTTCTAACTGAAGCAAATTTCAGTACTCGTTTATTAAATCAAAATAAAAACCAAAGTACCTATAATGATAATATTTTATATTTTTAGTGTTTACAAGGTATTTATTGTTTATAAAAAGTAATATTACATAATGTAAAGTACGATTTGTGAAAAATTAAATTTTTTTTGTTTGAAATCCACATAATATCGTAATTTTATGCCGATTTGATGACCCAGACATTACTTTGAATTGTTCATGGCCGTGTTGTATACTGGGTGGTGGTCAATCGAAAACCTGTTTAAATAATATGTATTATTATTTTAACTTACAGGGTTCAACGTTAACCATTTGGACATTGCGCCGAGATACGCTAGTATACTGATGGGCATATCGAACGGAATCGGTACGATAGCCGGACTTCTTTGTCCGGTCGCGATCAACATCATCATCAGGCACAAGGCACGTATAATATTATACCATGGTCAGAGTTCGCGAATTTAAGTATTTGCATAACTAATATCCCTATCGGACGTAGAAAAACATAACAGAATGATGAGTGAATAAATGCGTTATATAATACCTACCTAACCTAACTTATGGATGAATTCGTCGCCTCAGAATGAAAAGGTTCTAAATTTTTGTTGTATAATTCAATCTTGAAATCGGATCGATCCGTTGATTATTCAATGAGATACAGAGAATGAAAAGGTTCTAACTCATAAAAACGTGAATGATAAGAGCGAAACCGAGAAATATCAGTTAGAACCTTTTCATTCTAAACAATAATTAAGAATTAAATAGTTCTAAACGGTCTTAAATGTAATATCTCAGAATGAAAAGGTACCGTTATAATACGGTTATACCACTGGTACAATATAAATTATTATTGTGCCATAATAAAATATTATTCCAGCATTCCAGCATAAACTTACCGCCTATTTTTGTTTTGTTGCGGTGATAAGGTAGGTAATACCTACATGCCACATGTATATAGTACCTACTTTAGTATTATAATAAATGGTACATTTAAATTTGAATTACATTTGGTTGAGAGCAACTGGTATATTTTTAAAATCCCGATAACAGTTGTGGGGGGCAACTGGTCAACACCCTTCCAATATACCCCCCTTCCCTACACTAGTTGCGCCAATGGACCATACAATTGTAACTTATTACTTATAGTAGGTATGTCCAGGCACATACACAAAAAAAAAATTCAGGGGGGCGGGGGACCGCCGCCCTCCACATATACTGGTATGTTATAATATAATAATACTTAACTTAAAAACTAAAAATATTGCACAATAAAAAAATGTATAATTTATAACATAGTTTACACTAGAAGTTGGTATCACTGCATAGAAAAAATGATTCAAATCAGAATGAAAAAGTTCTAACTAACTAAATAATTTTTATTTTCAGAATGAAAAAGTTCTACACGTAAAACCTTTTAATTCTAAAACTAATATTTTGGTTTTTTATAATTAACTCAGTCAATAATTGAGGAAAGACAAATTGCAGGTAAAGTTGTGTTCTTTGGAACTTTCTTGATATTGCATACAATTTTCACGATTTAGTAATTATGGTGAAAAAAGTTATTCAATGTCCTACTTAAAAATGTTCCCCTGAACAATTACATAAATTGCGTGAGAACCTTTTCATTCTGAGACGACGTGATAATGAAATTATATATTTCGGTGATTTTATTATGTTACTCAAATGTTATGCTTATTAGTTATTATTTTCAAAGTTTTTGTTTAATATATTAATGAATTTATATTTTCTTTCCCTTTTATTAATAGTGATAATCCACACGGGCGCCTGCACGGTTAGGTTAGGCTAGGCGATATCCTCCACGGTTTATAATCTGATGTACCCTTCACATGTTAGGATGATTCGTATTTATCAAAAGATCATGTCATGAAGTGATGAAGGTTTAAAATATTTTTAGAATTTCGTTGTACGTTTTTCAATTGTCTAAGTGCGTATTTTTAGGTTATTATTATTTAATAGCATATTATATACCTATAAATAGCAATATTTTTGTATATCGTTTTAAGTCCTGAACCCTGATTGACATCCTTTTGGCTCAGTTACCCCGATAAACCTTTTTTTATTAGATGTAATAATATGAAGTATTAATATTTAATACAGTAAAGACGTTCTCACTGAGATTGGTTTTGTAATTGTTGCAGACGAGGCAGAGCTGGAGCGAAGTATTCATACTGGCCGCCGTCATTCACTACATAGGGGTGGTGTTCTACGGAATATTCGCTTCTGGAGAATTGCAACCGTGGGCCGAGCCCAAGGTCGAAGAAGATCAACAAATGGATGAGGTAGGTTTGAAATATCATTAAGGCACAAAATATCCCTCAGCTTACTCCAAAAATTCGTTATTTTGAGAATAATCCATTAATAGTGTTTTGCATATTCTTAAGATTTTCCAATTTTTTCAATTACAATTTTCGCGAAATAATAGTACTAAATAATAATTATATAATTTCAAAAGAAGTTTATTTTTGACTCATTAAATTTTTTTTTTATTCAAGCTACTTTTTTTTAAGCTCGATAATAATAATATTGCGGTGATTAGCTAGAGATGGTTAATACTAAAACATATTTATTTCCTAAGTAGTTAACCGAGTAGTTGCTTAACCAACTGTCAACTATCGTGGAATTAGGCTCCTCGGGTTTTTAAATAAATTATAATATTAATTTAAAATTCAATGCAAAATAATATATAATTAATAAAATAAGTTCTGCCATCTAGCGGACAAATTGTCCTTTATAGAGTTGTGACAGGTTGGCTTTAAAATAGGTGCCTATTATATTATTATACTAAAATATTTTAAAGGAAACTAAATTTACTTCTTTATAAGTTAAGGGTTAAACTGTTCTGACGTTATGTGTCTCGTAGTATAACCAAAGGCTTATTATTATTGCTTTATAAATTAGCACACAGATATGTATTCCTGTAATGCAGTAAATGTGGACTGCACCATTATAAAATTGTAAAATTTATAACCCAACATATATTTTATACGACTTATAATGATGAGCAAATTAATAGGGGGCAAGTCATGTGAAAACAGTTCACCCCTTTGTAGGGGTGCCACCAAAAAAGAAAAAAGATTGTCAAATAACCAAATTTTTTTTTGTTATTTTATTTATGATTTTCTAATTTCTTCGTTGAAGTTATAATATTGAAAATAGTTAGATAAACAACGTGTGTACCTATATTATAATAATTGTATAATCCATTTAACGTTATACACTTTTTATTTCAGAAAATACTAAAATTTTTGAAAATATTTCTTTTACTTGATTTTATGTCGTTACTTAACAACATTTTGGAACAAAACTATATTGTTTACTATTATTTATCGTTTTATTTTTTAGGTGTCTTACTTTTTTGAATGACAACATGAATTTTAATTTCATATTCCAAAGCAGAGTATTATTTATTTATTCGATCTTTCGATCTATAAAAATCAAAATCAAATTTTGAGCAAGTATTTCAAGTTTATAGATGACCGGAGTAGTTAGATCAAAATTATTTTGTGTGCCCGCCCTGTTACACACATCTAAACTTTAAGTACCGTAGAATGGGGTAACTTTGATTTCGTGGGGTTACTTTGATAATATGATATTTTTATTCACCATAGTACCCACGACATTTAATATTTTTTGTCATAAAATGGGGTAACTTTGATAACACATTACGAAATGCTGTATCAAGTTGCCCACAACGTGGTGTACTTTGATACATTTTAAAAGATAATATCTCAGAAAATAACATCAGAAATTTAAAAATTAAATGTTAAACAATTGAGGATAATTAGCTATACTAAGATTTTAATTTTTGGAATTTTATCGTTATACTACAGAAGATATCCATAAAATAAAAAGTAAAATTGTAATAAAACAGTACAAATTTATCAAAGTTACCCCATTTTACTGTACTAATAACTTCACTTGCTCCGTCCACTTCTCCTCTCCAACTAACATCAGCAATAAATTGTTAATCTACAAAGCTATTTTAAGACCTGTATGGGCATACGGTATCCAGATATGGGGCTCCTGCGAACCCGCAAACCTACGACTATACAAGCCTTCCAATCAATATGTCTCCGTCAAATCGCTTCTGCCCCTTGGTATATAAAAAACGCCAATCTTCACAAAGACTTAAACGTTCCCACACTTTCTCAGCTAACCAAATCCCACTTCCTCTCATTCCATTCTAAGCTAAATCACCTTACTAATCCATTAATTAAACGTCTGTCTTCTTGTACAATTCCCGATAATCCTAGAAGAAGACTGAAACGATCTTGGCCTAGAGATTTCCTTGCTTGATCTGTTGGGTGGTACTACTGAGTACCTTCCCTCTCTGTAATATCAACTCTATTGTCCATCAAAAAAATTACTTATTGTATAAAATGTTTGTATAGATTGTAATTATTCTTTTAATAAAATAAAAAATAAAAAAAAAGTACTAATAACTCATAAGCTACAAGTCCAGGATTCGGTTTTTATGTGTCTAAAAAATATTGTGATTTGGAACAAGGAATTAAGAATTAAAGTTGTCTCTACAAAAAAGTTAAACATTGAAAAATGATAACGACAAAAAAAGTTAAAATATATTTTGAACTGCTTAAATTTATGTGATAAAATATTTCCAAAAACGTTAATGTTTTCACTAGAATGAGTGCTTTACGTGAAACGGGTCACCCCTGGTAAACTTTAGCTGAATTTTTTAATACTGTAGTAATCATCAGACGGTCGCAGAGACGTCTCGAACGTGTCGGTTTCAATATATTATTATCATATTATTAATACGATAAATGCACAACAGGTGGGCGTCGACAAGAAGAGTAAGCTCTCGTCGTACGGTTCGGTCGAACAGTCGTCGGGCAAAGGGTTCGTGAACGCTGGTCTCAACACCAACTGCACAATCGGAGAGACCGAACCAGCGCCGCCGACCGACAACCCGACAAATCCGTTCCTGGCCAAGCCCACCACCAATCCGTTCGCTGCCTCCGAGTGATAATCCGACATTACATTAATACAATATGTTATATTAATAATAAGTTATTGATGTAACGAATAATTCGAGTTCGGATCGCACTGTCCGGCAGGATTACACGGATTACATTATAATATAACGATAATAATAAAAACAATAATAATTATTATTATTATTGTTACATTGTAAAGGCCAGTAGGTACTTCGCGAGCAATAAAACCGTTAACGGCGTAGTCTCGATTGTGTGTTTTCTCTCGCGTAGTTGTTTCGTAGGTACTAGAATAATAATAATTTTTATAGGTAGACAATATTACTAAAATCGATTTTCTCTCAATTATACGATTTTGGTAATAATACAATATTATATAGTAATAATTATAATAATACATAATAATAGTATTATCGTACACACTCGTCGTCTCATCATCTATATATTGAATAATAATATTATTATAATATAATAGAACCTAGAACATGAATTTCGCGTTTATCGATACAATGTAGCGTAAATCGTAATAAATTTGCACTTATCGATTTTTCCAAATTAATAATTATTATCTTAATATTATAATATACTGTCAATTTGTTTTTATACAATACCGAATAATATAGATTCCGTCTTGTAACGGACGTAAAATATAATATAATATTATTATTTATTATAATGTTTATACAGCTCGGTCGGCTCGAAAGCGCTCGGCCACAAAGTTATAATAATGTGTAATATTATAATATATTTTATAGATATTTATTACTTAACCTTACTATGTAGGTAGGTAATTTCAATCGTATCTGAACTTATGGTACTTACGTATTACCCGGTACTTGGTTTCACGTTGTTTTTAAACTCTAAAATATTAATATCAAGAATACTCGAATAAAATATAATAATCATAATAATTATGAACTTAAATAGTACAAAATTATTTCAGTTGTACAAAAAATAATGAAAAAGTTTGTTTTGAAAAAAACATTACTATATATTTGGTACGAGTAAAACACTTAGTTGAAAGTATCTTAAGTTATTTATGTGCTTCTTCATTAAGGAAGTTGTGTGCTGGGGGGACAACAATAATATTGCAGTATCTATATCTTTTGAAATTTAATCGAATAAATTGTTCACATCAGAGGGATTCTGACGTTACACAAAGTGTTAACTATAATAATATAGGTCTATACAATTGTCGACCCTGTGCCAATTAACGTTTTATTAGTAAAAACTATCTTTACACACTATCATGTCATCGTCTGTAGTCTGTTGTGTGTTGTTTATTTGATCACTATTTGAGCTAGGAAGAAATATTTGTATCCTGGTTTTCGAGTGAGACCTTCATGTTCTGAAAATTTTACCAGGAGTTTAGAATTTCATAACCATATGACCACTGTAACTGCGAGTTGATATAGTTAAATATTTTTCAACTTAACGGTAATAGGTAACCGGTTACATGGTATGATATTCATAAGATAAGCACAGCTAGTTCAATCATTTAAAACACTGGGATTTTAACACGACACGACAGAGTGTAAATATATAGGCGCTTTCAATGTTTTATACGATTTTGTTAATGGAATACCGAGTGATCCATTTAACACGTAAGACACTCGTCGTTTTAATAACTTTTAACAATATTTTTAGTTAAAAAACAAAATTTTCTTGAATAATTATATTTTTTATCGTAATTATTTTTCAACAAAATATACTATGGACAACACGCCATTTTAATTACTCATTTAAAAGCAGAATATTCTTTGGTGCACTTTGATAATTAAAAACCAAATTTTGGAAGAGCAATTTATGAGTCAGTATTTACTGTTTGGATAAACCGAGCGGAGTGGCACAGGGGTCCCTGGTAAAATATACTAGGTTAAATTTAGTCATTCAAAAGAGTATAAAAAAATTTCAAAATTGCCAAAAATAATATTTTCCAAAAATGTTGTTTTGCAACAACTCAAAATTAAAATCGATACAGGTACCAAACTCTGGTCTGCGGAGAATATGTAAGTGCCATAAATTACGATGACGCGATGTTCGCATAATAACGTATTCTGTCAATTTCTTTTTATACAATGTAATAATAGATTATATTCCTTAACTGATGTTAAATAATTTGAAAACTATGTGTTAATGTTTTAATAAGCTTCGTCGGCTCAAATGCGTTCGGCCGCGTTTCATAAAATAATATTATAGGTAGGTACTATATATTGTAGGGATTAGGTTGTAGCGGCTTAGGTTAGGTTAGATTTTTCCGAACGATTGTTATAATATTATTATAATGTACGTTTTTTTTTTTTCGTCTAACACAAAATAATATTATATTGTATTAAGATAATATGCTTATTCTCTGTCGGAATCGAAAGCGTGTTGAAATGTGATTAGGCAGTGGTCATATTATGTTTAACCGTCTCGGCGCATGCGCATAATATGCGTTGAAAATATAATATGTAGGTAGTTATGTTATATCGAATCGGCATCTGCGATTTTTTGGTTGGGATTTTTTTGTCCACGTGACCGTCGGGTGTGACACGATTCTTAACCGACACTCGTCGTGTGATTCGTATAATAAATATATATAGATACATTATGTATATGCATAATAGTAAATAAAACGGTTGTATGGGAGCTGATGACGTTGCTGAGATGATAATAATAATAATAATAATATAACGTCCCTCGTCCGACGCTCACCCATGTTATGGTCAGCGCGGTTTAGAGTAAGCGTGTTATGTTTTTTTAGCTCGTAAATTTAAATACCTACAAAATATGGAAAATATGATATTATAGAATACATAATATTATAATATTATATTATTATAGTCACTGTATTACGTAGTTAGTATATCCATTGCATATTTCGTATGCGATGAATGCCTTTTCGAAATTCGTCCTACTGTGATACAATATAACATAATACTACCATGATTGTTCCTTGTTGGACTTAAAATACGACGATAATATTATTATAATAGTACCCTCTGTGTACGACGGACAACAGTAAAAATATTATGATATTGTATTGCTCCCAAAACGACTCGTCCCGACCGGGATGAAGTCAAACGGCGCAACAAGTTGATTTTTTTCTAGTAGTTGTATTAAACGTTTATATTTTATTTACGCATAATATAATAATTCTTTCCAATTTTTTTTTCTGTTAGTTCGATTTGAAATCGAATAAACGACAAGACACTTTTAAGAAGTTTTTTGAATAATGTCAATTAAAACACATAAATATAAAAAACGGTTCTGTTGATTTCTTCGTCGAATATTAACTAATGTTTTCTTTTGTAAACAAAATAACTAATATGTATGAAAATATAATTTCCGTAGACGAGTGTTCGGTTATACCAAAAAAAAACAAAAAAAAACACTGTTTAGGTCGCGCACACCAATATAACGCATAACAATAATTCTTCAGATTTCGCTTTTTCTATCGGTGAAATAGAAAAACGACCACACGAACTTACACCACAATGAGACATTAAGACGTACATATTAATATTGTTCATCGTCATAATATGAATTCTACTCCTCTCTTTGAATACTCAACGCGCTTCAATAAAAATTCAAACCAATGATATAGCTTACTCAATATTAGAACTCAAGTAGAACCAAAAATTCGAAAAACAGTTTGGTTATGTACAGCAAGTTTAAAAATATATGAAAGTAGAATGTGCTGCGCTGACATCGTTTCAAAAAAAAAAAAAAAAACTGTTTTCTTTTCAAATGTCCATAAATTAATAAACTAAATTGCTACTTTATCATAAATCGTGTTTCTGTTTTTGGTAAATTCGCCTCTGCATAGTATGTATACTTTTCGCGTCTACGGCCACTGTGTAATAATATATTTTAGTAATATGGATAAAGAACCAGCGAAAATATTTAATGTCATTATAGCTGTTAAACACCTAACGTTTAAACAATATTGTCAATTTTGTCCTTCGAAAAAATAATCTTTATTCGTATTGTATTGTAGGCACAATCGAAAAACTATAAATACAGTTCCAGAATAAAAAGTTAATGTAGGTATACCTCCTACTAGTTCAAACATTTAAAAACAGCGGAGATCATTCGACCCTATATTGTTTTGATTATTTTATGAAAACTTATAAATTTAAAATCTTACCAATATTATGCTTATTATAGATAATAATATGTACGTATATTAATAATTATTATTATATATTGATATAAAATTTGTTGTTTATTAAACGGATATTTGTAATTATTTTATAATGTACCTATTAAAATATTATATTTATTTAAAACGGTTAAGAATTAATATTAATAATATACGATTAAGACATGAGATAACTATTTCGGTAGTTATCTCAAGGCTGACACGACAATAAATTAGGATTAAGTTAGGTGTTAAGGAATTTGTTTTTATTCGTTATTTTAATTTTAATTTTTTTTTTCAGTTAATTAGGAAATAGTAAATTTGATTGTTTTTGTGTTTTATTATTGATTATTTTTCGTCGATTGGTTAGGTATTGTATTTTGTTTTGTTATGCTTTTCGGTTCAATCAGTGTTCGGTTACACAGATTATATTACTCTCAACATTCTGAACACAACGATATGCCTTAATTCTGACAATAATAAGTCGATAATAAAATGATAATAATTAAACGATACGGACGAATTTAAATGGCACTCGTTATATACACAAAAACGACGTTAAAGTCACCCACGACAGATGAAAAAAAATTATTAGAATACATTACCTAAATAAAATATATAATAATTCGCACTAAAATAAAAACTAATAATATTTTCACACTGCACTAGTTACTCGAAAAGCACATACGAATAAGATACTTCAATAAAAACTTTGAACGAAAATATATAATAATAATGTGTTATGTAATATTTTATGATAGACGTAATTTTTTGTTATATATTTAATTATAGGTATCTATTTAAGTGTAAATAATAATAATATAAAATTTTAATGTTTTAAGATTTTAAGTCGGTTATACTGTAATGTATAAGAACACTATTCGCGTTTAGACGATATAACCGTAA